CGCCCTTGGGATATGTGTAGCTCCTGACTCAAGAAGTACTCCACAGCCTTCATACGTGATCTTTGCAGCCAATGCTCTCACTGCGTGGTGCCCTCAATGACCGCAATGGGGATGTGGCTTCCCCCGAACAACTGGTTCTGGTTCTCGTTGAGGCCATTGTAGCGGAACTGGTAGTAGAGCTCCTCAAAGAAGAATCCTCCTCCTTCTCACTCCCCCCAGCTTGCATTGCAGCTGCGCCCAACGTGGAAGCCTCTTTCTCTTGCGTGGCGACCTTTTGCACCTTGGGATTACCCCCGTTTGTTTTGCCTTTGCCCTTCGCCTTGGCCCCGTCACGCTTGCCATCCTTCTTCCCCTCCACCGACAAGTCTGGTTCACTCGCTCACAGCGACGAAGGTAGCGTCGGAGCTCTGCCTGCAGGTTGGGGCGCGCTTCCGGGAGCGCATCTGACCAATCCGTGGAGCGTTCGTTGTCGTCAGCGGCATGCCGGTTCCAGCTTGCCCAGAGTCGGTTGCTAACGCGGTCCATGCCACGGTTTTCCGGGCGGACGCGGGGCAGCCGGCCAAAGGAGAAACGAAAGGGTTCTTCACGGAGCTTGACCAGCTGCCGAAGGATTGGTGGAAGGTCGTTGAGAACGAGCGTGGCGGGTATCAGTACAAGACTGTGACTCAAGTCTTGGGGACCTTGGTGGAGACCATGCTCGATGGCTGCGCCGGAAGCAACCACGTGACTGAAGAACTCGTGGTGAGCATGCTGAACAAGGCCGCGGAGTTGGGGGTCAAGCCGGACGATCCTCGCTTTCCGGTCGCGCAGCTCGAACGCTGGGTTTATCCGGAGTTCGTTCATGGCATAGCCAGTGGAGCACCAGTGCCTCTGAAAGGGGCTTCTCGCTGCCTGGAGTCACAGCACGAACCCTTCGCGGCTGCCAGTAGGCCAAATGCCTGCAACTGCTTCAACTGACCCACCAACTGGGAGAACGGCGTCGCACCGGGTCGCGTCAGGCAACCACGTTCCTGTCCTCAAGACTGGAACCAACGCCCCTTCACCAGGCACTAGTTGCGCAAGCTCCTCCCCAAGAGTACTCAACCGCGCTCGCTGCCCTCGCCCTGGCTCGGAAGCCCCATGGAGCCCATGATCCGTGCTTGCGAGGACGGACTCGAACGCATAAGCTCTGTCTTTGCGTTCGCACTGCAGGTCCTCGCAACGCGGTGCCTGAATGCCCAACGTGTCAAGGATGTGGGCGTTAGGGTTTGGACGAAAGCCTAACCTGCGTCGAGCCTCGCAGTCGAGAGCCTGACCGCCGAGGATGAGGCCGTGCCAATCGCTTGACCCCTTCTACCGCTATCTTGCAGCGGACGAACAGCTCCGGTCCATCCTTGCGTTGGCCCCGTTCCGTCCCTTCCATCATGCGGACGCGAAGCGTTGGGAGCCTTGCAGTGATGGGTCTGAGATGACATCCCAGCTCACACGGTCGCTGCCGCTTCGTCCTCCACTCCCATCCCCCTTCTCATGGTGTTCTTGTAGTTCACCTTCACGATGATCGCCCCCACATTCTTTAGGATGTAGGACTCCACCATCAGGCCACATCCCGCGACCACCGCAAAGATGTTCTTGTACTCCACGATCGTGTCCTTGTAGTACATGAAGTTGTCGTTGTGGGATTGCCCAATCACTGGACATTCCCAGAGCCTCACTTGCCCATGGCCATGGAGGCAATTCCGGTAGTTCAACGTGATGACCAACCTGGAGGAGTCCCCATAATAGGCGCTTGGGTTCCTTCCATCGGTGTGAACATCACTGTCGATGGCGTCTTCGGGCAGGGAGTCTGATCTGGAGGCTGCGGCCTCGAGGCGTAGTTCTTCTTCAGAACCTCAACTTGTTGCCGAAGTTCATCATTTTGCCTGCGTAGCTTCTCCACCATTTGCGATTCAACTTCACGTTGTAGGTCATGGTCGACCTCCAGTTGTGCTCGATGTACAGGTTCGCGCCGTTGGCAACGATCACCATGATGACCTTGTACTCGTCGATCTCCATGGATTTCTTCGTCGTCCGCCCTCTCCCTTTTCGGTCGGGCTTTTGCAGCTTGTCCTATCCAACTTCTTGTCGTTCCTCCTGAGGTGCACTCGTGGTTGGCCAACCAGTGCTGATCTTCACCTTCTTTTCTAGATCTTCGGTGTCTTGGGCCGCACCTTCGTCACGGTCACCTTGTCCACCACCACATGCACTGATTGCTCCCCTTCATGCCCTCTACCACGCCCAGGATCCTGCATGTCCTCCAGCGGCCATTGCTCTTGCGCCTCAAGGTCCAGCAGGTCAAGGGCGTGATTTTCCGGCAGCAGCTCTTAGACCCTTCACCAAACAAGCTCAGTTCCGATTCGCCTTCGGGCACCGCCGGCAGATCCTCATGGTCGCGCAGCCAGTAGTCGAGCTTGTTCCTGGATGTCAGCCGACCAAAACGGATTCACGTTCGCCATGGCGGCCAACAACTAGGCTGTGCGCACCACAGTCCGAGGTGGTCTTCCCCCAGCCCCCCTATCAACAATTGGAGCCTCTAGAATAATATGATACAGAACCAATCAATTGATCAAAATGGAAAGAATCATTTCTTAGCTATCTCTGTCAATACTAAAAATGCAAGTAATCATGTCTTAGCTATCTCTGGCAATACTAAAAATGAAAAGAATCATGTCTTAGCTATCTCTGGCAATACTAAAAATGAAAAGAATCTGACTTTCAGGAAATAAGGGAATAATTATGTAAAACATGTTTTGGAGCCTGAAATCTCTAGACATTATTCTAGGCCCCCCCCCTAAATACTGTCAGAAAGCTGCTTGCTGGACTACCCCCTTTGCTTGAATGATTTTTGTTTTTTCAATACTTTTGAATACGGGGTTTTGTAAAGAAAGTGTGCAATGACTTTTGGAAACTTTTGGACCGCTTAAAGACCAAAGAGCTTAGGTAAGTAACGCAAATCAAAAGGAAAAGAAAGGGAATGAATACAAGTTTACTTAAAGCAAAATATTTCTAAGCCTGAAATCTTTAGACATTATTCTAGGGCCCCCCCTAAATAACGTCAGAAAGCTGCTTGCTGGACTATATATACCCCCTTTGCTTCAATGATTTTTGAGTTTTTTCAATACTTTTGAATGAGGGATTTTGTAAAGAAGAAAATGTGCACTGACTTTTGGAAACTTTTGGAAAGCTTAAAAACTAAGAGCTTAGGTAAGTAAAGCAAAGCAAAAGGAAAAGAAAGGGAATGAATACAAGTTTACTTAAAGCAAACTATTTTAAGCCAAAAGGGAAAATAGGCTGCAACAATTGAACATATTCCATTACAACTATCCCTGCAAAAAAAACATTCTGTGGGCCTTCATTAATCTGTGCAGGAAAAAAAATCATCATTCTGGGGTACTTTATTAATCCGAGGTAAACATTAACCTGAGTGGCGGAGCACGCCTTTTTCTCAGGCTAGAAAGGGCCTGCGGTAAACAGGCATCGATCGTCACAAAATGTGAGTGCTTCATGGACATCTTTCCTTGCAGAAACAAACCTGGGGGACCTATACCTAGTTTGTTGAAGACAGCTTGCGTGCATGTGCGCAAACTAAGGCCGGGACCGAGGTGCACGCAAAAGAAGAAGAGGATGAAGATGACAGGTCATGAAGACGGAATGGAAATGAAAGGAAGAGGGAAAAATGCGCGGGCCAATGAAAAGGACATTCGAGGGAAAGCCGACAAAAGGAAGGGGAAGCATGGGAAGGCAAAAAATAATGGAGAGAGAAAGAGATGGAGAGAGAGAAAAGGATAAATATAGAGAGATATATAGAGGGAAAAAAGTAAGGCTCAGAGACTCAGACGACGCCAATCTTAAATGAACTACACTGCTGCGGCCTACTCTTGCCTTGTCAATCTGACTGGCTGATACGAACGCTACAGGCTGCTCTGGGCGTTAAGCCTGCTCACGCTCCATCCGTGCCGTCAAGTCTTAATCGACCTTTGCCTTAGGGTTCCTATGCTCGCTGTGAGCTGCTGCCAGACACACTTGGGAAAATGCTTGCCACACGCCGACCCAAGCAAGTAAAACCCAAAAAGTCAGGGATGATAGTGCTCCTTGAACATATTCGCAAGCATTTCCCAAACGTATTCACAAGCACAAACACTGCACCTTGAATATACTCACAAGCTTGAAGGTACGTAGCCACCAAAATTGGCTTACAGTGGGTAGGTAGGTCTTTTCATTGGCGCAGGACTCATCAAAATTCCTTGCGCCCCCTGTTCTTTTAGGAGAAACAAACAGGGTGTGCACACACAAGAGCACACCGCCTATTTCTGAGCGAGAAATGCACACTCAAGATCTAGCGTGTACGGTCGGAATGTCACATGCCCTGAAGACACCTTGGTACAGCGGGAAACCTGCAGTCATGCAGCGGAGTCCAACCACTGCCATTTTATGTTCAGCAAGATGAAAGGATCGCTTTGTAGCGTAACTGAGAGCAGTGAAACAGAAAGAGCTGATAGACAAGTCCGCCGAGAATTCTGCCTCGTGTTCTTGAACCAGGCGAAAAAAATCGTTCTGTAGTGTACAATGAGCAGGTACATGGTTGAGCGTCCCCAACCACTTCCCTTCCAATGACCTAGCTTCATTGGATCGGGCGACTAAAAACCTGGCCATTGAATGTCAAAAGACCACTTTTGAATTCAAACACAAAAGCACAGCACGGCGATCTGAAACTGATTTCTGAGCCGCCTATAGCCTAGCTCCCGGCCCCCTCTCCCAACGCAACGAAATGGGATTGCGCAACCGATTCCTGAGGCTAAACATTATCCGCAGCTGTGCCTAACCTCCCCCCATGCAACGTAGTAGATTAAACATGATTTAGAATTCTTCCTTATTAGCTCTCATGTCCTTTGCAAACCAACGCGTGTGCGCTCCCTGCGGATCGAGGGTCGGTGGATATTGTTCTTTAGATGTGCTTGGATGTTGGGACTCGCAGCTTTTGGCAGGTTTGCCAAGATGTTTGATCCAAACAAGCTGCCCAAAGACTTCAGAAGGCAGCTCTACCATGGACAGTACAGGCTTCCAAGAGGAGGAGGAGGAGGAGGAGGAGGAGGAGGAGGAGGTAATTTGGGCCTTCAGGTCTGCCACGAACTGGATATTGCATACTTTGAGGATGTGCAGTTTTGGGAATCGGATGTGCCTCAAACACCTCCCAATACGCCAGTTCATGCATGCGCCCCTGACAACAGCGATGCCAAGCGCGACCGGCTATCTAAGACTCCTACCTTGCCATGTTCCAGGAACCAACGAAATCCAAGTCTGACCTCAGAGGCTGAGTCTGAACTTCAACCCCAACCATTTCAAAGGCAAACTACTCACACAACGGACAACGAGATGCCAGTTGTTGAAACCGAGAGGGCAGATGCTTGCGAAGAATCCAGTAGCTCTGCATGCCCTGAGCTTCCTGAACCTGATTTTAGCATGGCACCGCTTGCTGATGACGAGATTGTGTACAATGACACCACGGTCGAACATGAAAAGCGCCTTTCGATGCTATCACCTCACATCGATGTTCAGCCTCGAGCACATTGGCTGGAAGTGCAGGAGAGGAGGGTTGGCCAGCAGATACGCCGCAATCAGGTTTCCTACGATGAGACACCACGCCCCAGACAAGCTGGTGGTTTGGCCCGGCACCTAGAGCCATGAATTCCGTGAGCACTTTGCGAAGCTATGAGCACAGCTGTTCCAGTTGTAAGCTATAGAGCTGTTGCCCTGTTCGTGACTTTTCGCATGGAAGCCTGGAAGTTTGGACGCAAATTTTTCATAGTCTTTCGGCTTGGGAGCTTCGGAGCCCTGGAACCCTGCAACCAGAACCTTGAAACCCTCCAACTTCGCAACTCCCGAACCAAATTTTTATTGCTCTATGTCATATGTGCCTGGAACTATATACAGTATGTGTTTTGATTGCAACATTATCATCGCGCCTTGACTCTGGAACCATGAATTGCTCGCAACTTTCACCTGGAACGCCGGAACCCTGGCAACTTGAAGCTGCGGCAAGTCACAGTTTTTCTTCCCAAACTACGGAATTTCTTACTTCTCTTTGAGCCAGGCTGCCAGGCCCAGGTCGTAACTTTTCTGGAATCCAATTGCCTAACAGGATTTTCCTTTGCCACTTACGCCATCATGATCCGCTTGGCGGTTGCAAAAGGCAAGCGCCAAAAGGCAAGCAACGCAGAAGGAAAGTATAGATACGCCAAAGGTGCAGAAGTGTTTCCGGATTGCTGACTAAGTCCGTAGGTCGTCTAAGTCGAACTGTGTAGCTTTCCATTCACTCGTCCGTCTTCCGATCACATTGCTTGTTGGCCCTTTCTATGTTTCATTCGGGTTTTGGTTGGCTGTGTAGCGACCCAGCGACTGCACAAGTATCCTGATATTTCTCTTTCAATACACTATTTGGGTCTATGCCGGTGCATTTATTGTTGACTTTGCACGCTCCGAATGCGATTTTGCTCAGTGTGTGGCTGGAGAGAAAAGGAAGCTACAAGACAAGTATCAGTATGATATATACATATATACGTACAGATATTCCCAATCACATTTCAATCGGGAGCACCAAGCCTTTAGCAACTTCGGCTAAATATCATGGCAGATCTGATTGTACCAGTAAGCTTCCGTTCACTGTCAATGCTTCTGCATACTACGTGAGACAAAGTGACGTAAAGACGTAAGGGCACCATTTGAACTTATGCTTGCCACGCCTGCCGTGCCGGTGGTGGCGCAGGCTCCCATCTGAGACATTCATAAGAATATTGAAACGCTGGCCGCAGAAGTTAATCCAGCCTGAGGTTCGTGGGCACTTTACCAAAGTACATCAAAAACTTGAGGCCAGGTCACGTGTGGAAAGGACATCACATAAGCGATTGGCTTTTGAGAGTCACAATTTCGTACTCTTGTTGCCATTGTGTCGTCTTACTTGCTCCAGTGAAAGTCTGCCGCCTCGCAGAATAACAAAGCATGCATGTTTTGGCAGGGCCTTCCAAGCTCTCTGCCGTCAGTGCAGGCACATTTTGCCGTTCCTGAGGGCCTGGAATCAGTCCAAAGTCTGAATCAGTCCAAAGTCTGAATCAACCCAGGTTGATCTGATCTGCTTCAGCTCAGGATGTGCGACTCAACTTCATAACATTTGCTGGCTGAGGTGGCTGCTGCTCTATCGGGAGGTCTTGGAGCATTGCGACCAAGGCTTCGAGCCTTTGAGGGGCTTAGTGCTCAGATCACAAGCTGAGAAGCATAAGGCGCAAGGCCGTGCGGTCAAGCAAATTTGAACAACGTACAGTAACCCAACTGTCTCTCCACAGAACTGAGGTGTGGTCACGAGCGAAGAGCATCAAAAACTTCCCGGCCTGCCAACCAGAAGGCCACTATTCGCCCCGATTTACTGGCAGGAGGCCTGGTTGAATAACATGATGAGGCGGTCTATGACTTTATTGAAAAAGCTGGAGTCGGGAGCTACCAGTTCGAGCAGGCGTGAAATGAGCATGCGGATAGACATATTGGGCGGCCAGTTAAGCTTCGCAGGTTTTGCTTGTTGCATGCTTCTTTTTCAGCCACTTGGTTGCGCTTGGGCAAGTCACATTTGTTGAGTTGCAGCTTTACATGTCTATTTGTTCAAACACAGCAGAACTGGCCAAGGTGAAGCTGCTGAGCTTGATGCGAGAGCCTCATTTTGATACCGCCCAAAGTTGGCACAGTGGCGAAAGACTTTGCAGCAGGTCTTCAACATGCTTCTAATCGGAAGGCGTTTCAGCAATATTTTTCAGCACTCAGGTGATATCTCCATTGACCACTGCCTGGCGTTTGGAGTGGGCACTAGTTACTGACCAGGCAATAAGTACGAAATGTGACTTTGGGACGGCTGAAGTTGATTTTGTAGCTCGGACAAGCAATCCTTTTAAAGTTAAAGGTGAGGTGCCTGCAGTTGAATGAAATGTATATACTTCTTGTGTTTTGAAAAGTTCGTTGCGACAGCCTCGCAACCTAAAGTAAAGTCTCCTGATCTTCTTGCTGGCAACTATGTTGGTTTGTAAGGGTTGAGGGAGGGAGGGATGGATGGAGGGAGGGAGTGAGGGTAGGTGGGTGGGGTGCTGGTATTCGGTAGGCTTGTTGCGACAATGTGGCAGCAAGAACATAATATAGGCAGGTCCAAGGTTTGTGAGGAAAGGCGGTGGAGCCTGAGTGGGGTGCTTTTGCCGCGATGTGGCCTTGCGTGAAGGGTGTTGGGAAATATCGGAGGCGTGTTGTTCAGGGCTAATGGAGGAATTTGTACCAAGTGTGATGAGGACCCCAAACGACTTAAGACCCCAAAGGAGTACATGTGCTTTTGACCTGGACTCCAAGGGACATGTTGAGCTCCGTCTGAGACTTGAACATGCAGCGTTGAGTTTGCTTCATTGTACAGTGAGGGGAATGTGCATCTCATTGGGAAACTTCACACAGCAACACGTAAAATGTCTTGATCATTATTCCCAGATAGCGAGGGCTACTGGGGTTCTTACTTCAAGTATAGGAAGAGGTGCCTGTGTGCGCGTTGGAGCGTGGGTGGTGCCACTGCAGGGTGCCGTTGCAGGTGGCCGTGCCAGATGTCCATGGCAGTGTGCTTTGGAGCCTGGGTGCTGGTGCCATTGCAGGGTGCTGCGCACAAATACCTGTAATATCTTTTGCTACCTGGGGTCTGTGCTGGTGTCATTATATATATATATACACGTACACATGTCACTGGAATTGGTTTCCAGTGCCACTGGTTGCTTCCTCGCCCAAACAAAGGTTCCTACCCTATCTACCTAAATGAAAGGGGTCCCACCCTTCCACCTGTAGGCGGGCCGCCGCCTTTTCCCACCACTACCGACGTCCTGAGTGTTCGTCCTTGAGCCAAACACATTGGTTGGCTGGTTTGCTCATTCGAAGGTCTCGTACGGATGGCTTTCACCCGGTTTCCGATTCACACTCATTCTGTTTTCTTTTCATTTGAGATTCCTCAAATGATTCAATCCATCGTGCACTAAACTTTCGGTTTGGATTGCTCTTGAGGGCACTGCTATCATCATAGATACGAAATTTGCCAAGCATGAGAACCTTACGAAGAAATGCTGAATCCATTGGCTTTGTTAAACAATCTGCCAACATGATAGCTGTCGAAATCCATCTGCATTCCGTGGTTTCCGAGGATTGCTGTTTAATCAACATAACTTCGATTGTTGAATGACTTCTTCACAAAGACGGCTATTGGGTTGCGCATACACTTCTAACAAATCAACTTGTCTACCGAAGGCTTGGTGGTTGGTTTCGGCTTGAATTGCTTTCAACAGTCTGGCTTCGAACTCCGTTGCAACTGCAATTTGGGTATCGATGGCCAAAACCTCCCACTCTAGAACCCCTGGCTCTGATGCAACTGCTCCTCCATTTGGCGTCTTGTCTGACAATAGCGAGCGAAATCGGCGATTGGTGCATCCAATGAATTGATCCTGCTCAGGCACCATTGGACATACTGGCTGTCCATCTCGTACACGATTGCATAGGTCTTGCCAGGGTGCTTCTTTCCCCATGTCACCTTCTTCTGGCCCCACTGATCCATTGCCGTGGCTGTCCACGCCAATCCCTGCCCTTGGATTTGATGCTGGGCGGATGACTCTGCTTCGATTGGCGGGTTGCTCGCTTCATCATGAATCCCAGTTCTTCGATCTTCTCCTTCTGGGATTGGACCTCAGTCAGAAGTTCGTTCATCATCACTGCTTGATCTTGCGGAACCTCCTGCTCTGACACCTGAGTGGCCACCTGGTTCAGGAGGATGGCTAGGAGTGTCTTGAGGCTCTGCATCACGTTTTCCGCAATCGACTTGACCATGTTCATCATGTCTCCACGAGTTGGCATCGCTTTGACAATTCTTCGAACGTGCTCGCTGATTGCAGCTTGCTCCAAAAATGCTCTCACAATTCGGCTCTTGGCTACACAAATCTTGCATGCGAATCATGAGGAGTCCTGTTCTGGCTTCATGCAATGGGATGGCTCTATTTAAGACTTTTAGGTGACATGAACTCTTTTGCAAGTCAATCACTGCACCTAGTTGCCGCATGGTTTGAATCGAAAGCAAGAATGGTGTGGCTTTCGGAACGACTTCGACAATCAACCACATTCGAGTCTTTCGATATTCGATCGGAATATGAATCTGCTTGTAACTATATTCTATTTGATTATTCCCGAATCGAAAAGCAACTCGGCTAGCACGATCTTTCACTCGATCTCGGACGGTGATCGGCAGTTGATCAAGGAGCATCGGAAGGTTTTCTTCACCGATTACGCTCCGGCTTGCACCTGTGTCTAAAATTGCCATGCCATTTGTTCGAAAGCCAAGTGACTCTCCGGATTTACTGGTGAGCCCAGTGGCGAGCAAAGGCTTTTGCTGCATCTGCTGAGGACTGTGCTTCCTGACAAGCGGATCGAACGTTCGGTTTCGCTTTGCAAAAAATGTTTGGGTTTTCCTAACGACATCTTCTGCAAACAATGCTTCTGCAACTGGCTCTGACTCGAATGGCTTTGGTCCTGCAAAACCTACTCGGCTTTTGGATTCAATCTCAACCCCAAACCCGACCTGGGCTTCGGAATCGATCTCTTCAAAAAGCACTTGTGCAGCAGCTTCGTTCTCTTCCATCTCATGGGAAGCGGATGCAACATTTGCTTGGCTCTCCTTCAGGCGCCGAGGACATTCCGCCTTCCAGTGTCCAAGCTCTCCGCATCGCTTACAATGGGTACGAGCAATCCTGTTCAGCAGCTCATCTTTTCCTTTCGAACCACCTTTTCTAAATCCCTTGGATCCAAAAGAACTAGACCCTTTTCCCGACTTGTTGAGGCCTTTGATCGGCCAGAATCCACGATTGTGCTTGCGCTCCACAATGCGGCCTCGGGCCTCTTGATAGCTCAGCAGGGCTTGATGGAGATCTGGAATTTCCTGAAACAACTCTGTCAGTTCCTTCTCGAATCCTTGAACTGTCAGTGCATCAGCGTCTCCGGTATTCGCCAACTGTTCCAACAATTCTGTAGGTACATCTTCATCTTCTGCTTGAGCTGCATACAGACTCTGATCGGTACCAAAATGGTCTACCGAATCTCCGGGTGAGTCCTGTGGATCCTCAACAAAATTCGTCGGGTAAACTTGCTTTTTCTCATGCAATGAACCTCTAAGAACACTTGTTGAAAGACTGCGCATAGCCTTTTCAATTGCTCGTTCATCAAATGCTCCATTGGTCATTGTCAACACCTTCTTCTTGTCCTCATGCCCCAAATTGCTCTGTTTGAGCAGTACGAAGGCCTTGATGGCCTTGAGAGTCGTGTCAGGGCCTACATCCTCAAAGGCTACGTCCAACCTGTTGACAAAGGACTGGGTGCTTTCATCGACCTTCTGTGTCGTCCTGTAAATTGCTTTGTCAAAAAGTTCGAACGTGTTCAGCTCGGCGCTCTCTTCCCACGATGACAATGCGGCCAGCAGGCTTTT